ACACAGGTAAACATTTTTCTGGTATTCTTTGCTTTCTTTCAGCCAAGATCCATCTGAAATTAGCAACGATATCCCTCATTCCATGTCTTCTCCTGAATCCAGCTTGAATTTCTGGCAGGTCCCTGTCAATATACTGCTGCAACCATTTTTTAATTATCTTCAACAAGATTTTACTTGTGTGTAATATTAATGATATCGTTCAATAATTTCTGCATTGTTTGATCACTTTTCTTTGGAATGGGAAAAACATGGATCTCCTCCAGTCAGTTGGTTAGGTAGCTGTCTTCTCCATTTCTTGGCATGGCTGATGCCTCCTATGCTGCATCCATTTGTTGAAACATCTCAGTGGGTATTCTGTCAATTCCTGGAGCCTTGTTTTTCACCAATTCCTTTAGTGCAGCTTGGACTTCTCTACATGTGGACCTTGTCAGACAGAATACACAAGAAAAAAAATCTTCCTGTGGGAAGAAGTGATGGAGAAGCTCAATATCATCAGTCAGAACAAGGCCAGGAGCTGACTGGGGAACAATTCTATAATTATAGGTTCTGTAATTCTCTTTCTCAATAACTTACAGTGGCCAAGGTCCCGGGAGGGTGGGGGGTGCAAATAGTCTGCGTTTGACTGGTAACATAAGGTTGCCAGTTCAAACCCACCCAGTGGTACCAAGACGACCCAGGCCTGATGATCGGCTTCCATAAAGATTACACCAGTTCCTACTCTGAGGCCTACTCTGTCTCACCAACTGAACACATAAACAAACAAATGCCTCAATAATGTATAGTGGCCATTTTTCCATATCAACACTGGGAAATCTATATCACTGTTCAAATTCATGCAGAGTTTGCCACTGCATAGATGTACCATCCTGCGTTCAACCAGTGCTCTTCTGATGGTGCTTTGGTTCCCTAGTGCTGCTATAACAGACATACCACAAGTGGATGGCTTTAACAAACAGGGATTTATTCTCTTAGAGTTTAGGAGGCTGGAAGTCCAAATTCAAAGTGCCAGGTCTAGGGGCTGGGCAACGGCCCCTCGACCCTGGGCTTCAGCTCTTGCTCTTGCTCTCGGCCCCCTGGAGCTTAAGTGTCTCTCAACTCAGGCAGCTGCTGGCTGCTGACGCTGACAAAACCAACGTCAGCAGGTAAAATGGCACAGTCCCACGATTAGCAGACAAGATGGCAGGCTGCTGAGAAGAAGACTCAGCCAAATGCAGGATCCAGATGTGCTAAAAGCTAGCAACCTTTCTCAAAGTTTCCCCTTGTATTCTGCAAGCAGGCCACACCTTAAAGGCAGCTACTTAACTGCTCACAGTAGATTCCACCATGGCTTTGATTAAGAATCTCATCATGGGAAATAATGACATTCAACTGCCCAGCCACTCAAAACCACAGCCTAGCCAAGTTGACACACATTAACTACCATAGATGGATATGTAACATTTTTCCTGTCTTTTGCTCTTTCAGTTAATATAGATGGATGATCACAATGTCTCTTCTTGTCTTCAAACACTTTGTATGCTAGCAGCCTCACTCTAGAGATATAACCACCCATCAGCCAGACACTTTGGTTTGTGGATTGAGTTTCTATGTCTCTCTCCATGGTTGAAATTCCCAAATACCCACATAAAAACAATGAAAAGTGTATGAAAGTTAACCAGATTATTAAACTTTGATACAGACCCAAGTTAATCCAAGTGTATATAATCCTAAAGCTGCAATTTGAGTTATAGTCTTTAAGTGTCATTCAAGTTGAAAATCCTTCCTGTGAATTATTATCAATACTTAAAAGCCCTCTGACTGTCACCATTTACAGCTTTGCCCCTTGTCGGTGCTCATGCTATGCCCTTATTCAAAAAACTTTGCCTGCCCAACAAAATCAAACTTCTTTCTTTGGCATCCACGGCCCTTTGCCACCTGCTCCAGGGTATTTTTCCAGCCTTATTTTCTCTTTACCACATGTGGTCTAGGCCACAACACTTGACCACATCTGCCTTTCCTTGTACTTAGGCTGTTCCCTCAGTCTGGAATGTCCTTCCCTCTCAGCTCTTCTACAGAAAGTCTGCCTATCTTCACAGTTCACCTGTAATTAGGTCCTTTGAAGATATTTTGCACCCCAGGCCAAGGATAACCACAGTGCCTTTTAGTGTAATAATAGCACCAGAAAAAAATGTCTACTTATTCGTTACTTTATTTCAAGTAACAAATTGACAAATTGAAGAAAATCATGCAATAAAAATTACTTAGAGCAAAATAAGAAATAAACAGTAATTAGTTTCTGAAATATGAGTGTGTTCTACAGTGGGGTTCACTCACCCTGCTTCCACCATGCACCACCGAGCATAGTTTGAGAACATCTACATTAACTTAAAGGAACCCTCGTGGTGCAGTGGTTAAGCACTAAGCTGCTAACCAAAAATTGGTGGTTGGAACTTACCATCTGCTCTGGGGAGAAAGATGCTTCCCTAAAGATCACAGCCTTGGGAACCCGATGGGCAGTTCTATTGTGTCCTGTGGAGTCACTATGAGTTGGACTCGAGGGTGACTTACATTTCTTAATATTAACTTTAATATTAACACTTGATATTTAGCTTGTTTTGATGATATTTTAGCCCCAGTAAGCCTAGCATCCCAGGCAATCACCCGTATATCTTGCCCCTTAATGCTACTTCTGCAAGGAGCACTGCAGCGACTAAAGAACTTGGCTGCTAACAGAAAGATCCCTGGTTCGAATCTACCAGCAGGCTCCACTGGGGGGGGGGGAGACTAAGCAATCTGCCCCCAGTAAAGATTACAGCCTAGGAAACTCTATGGGGTGGTTCTATTCTGTCCTATAGGGTCACTGTAAGTCAGAAGGGATTCGACAGCACACAACAACAACGCTGCTTCTCAATTTCCTCCACAAGGCAGTGTCTTGTTGTAAGGAAAGCACAAGCTTTCAAGTTAGGCACACCTACCTTTGAATCCCCAGTTTTTCTGCTTTCTGATTGTGGACTGGACGCAAAACACCTGGCTTCTCTTTGCTTTAGTTTCCTTGTCTGAAAAATGGAATGTTCCCTCAGTTATTTCTAGAACATTTGGGAAGGCTTATAGGTCCATTGCTAGAAAAAAAGTATGTTTATCAGCACATCACACATGTACTGAGGATATGTAAAACATTTCTTCCCTCTTCCTACTGAGTCACTGCAAGTCATATCCTGAAAAGGCCACGACTGATCCAGTCTTTATGGAATCCACTGAGACAAGCTCCCAATAGTTCTGGCCCCCTTCTACATTATCCCCACAGGCCCTTCTATCACTCTTCTGTTTTTCTGTCATCCCCTAGTGTCCATGTTCTGCCAAGGTGGGGCTGTGTACATTATAAGGGAAAACTTCAGGTTCTTCCTAGGAGTATGTCAACAGGAAACACAAACCTTTCTGTTGACTCACAGCATTATTATATTTTAAAAACTCTGTGCACTTTGTATAACCAGACAGAGAATAAGAGAAGGAACAAATATATTTTTTCATAGGTAGTGTAATGCATGTCATGACAGGTAGTTAGAAATAAGATCTGTAAAGTGAATTGAACATTAAAGACACTATAGATGTGCCGTGAAAAAAAGAATAACAGAATATTCAAATATTCTTCCCTTCCTCTTCTACATAAAGAGAAGCCTATCTTCGATCAGAGACCAAAAAAAAAACCTCACTGCCCTCTAGTCAGATCCAGCTCATAGCAACCCCTCCTCACATTTCTGAGGCCATATCACTATGTAAGTAGATTGCCCAATCTTCCTTCCAAGGAGTGGTTGGTGGGTTTGAACCACCAGCCTTCAGGTTAGCAGTCAAATGCCTTAGGCACTATGCCACCAGAGAGCTCTAATTAAAATGAGGGGTAATAGGGGAGAAGGAGAAATGAAAGAGAGAGAGTTTCGATTTACACTGAAAAACAAAGTGGGTAACTCAAGAATTAATGTTTAGTTAGTAGTAGAGCCACCAGATGCAAATTTATGAGCATTAGAGAAAAAGAAAAAAAGAGTTTGGAGTATTTGTTGTGTAATGCAGTATGAAAAAGCGAGGAAGGGAAACATAGATTAGGAAAGATGCTTTTAAGGAATTTTCTTATATGTAATTGAGTGTAAGCCCCTTTCTGCAATTTTGGAAGAGTCCTGAAAAAGATCCAAATTGATTTTCAATTACTTTCTGATGACAGTGTGCCCAGAGGGACTTAGCTTTGTCCAAGTCTTGTAAATACTTAGGAAATATAATACATTCTTCCCCGGAGCCCAGATCACCTCCCTTGACGTTTCAGTACTGTACTGGCAATATTATGCCATGTATGCAGTTGAGTTGGCCATGTGTATGTCCTCTCCCCTACCTGCTTATGAACAGGCCCTGGGAAAGTGAAGATTATTTCTTATTCTCTTCATGTCCTGCCCCAGTGCCAGATTCCGGTCATTCATCAAGCGGCTTCCACACAGCTACCGTTCAATAAATACCTGTGAAATGAATGCATGAGTAATGAATGAACAGAATTGAGCTAAAAGGGTGATTTCGTTAGGTACATCTGTGACAGCACTGTCTTTCTCTCCTACCAGCAGACGGACTCTGTGAGAGACAAAGTCAGTTCTGGTCCTTATTTTATCCCCAGCACTTGAACAATGCCAAGCACACAAAGTGTTCGAGTAAGTATTGGAATAAATTTTTGTAACCCTTACAATGAGCATTTCGCGCATCAAGAAAGAAGAAAGCAAAAACGATCCAAGGCTAAACGGAAGTGACACGCTTTGGAGAGGCTGTGAGGAGTACAGATGAGCAGTGCCGGCCGGATCGGGTGATTGGAACAGGAATCCCCACTGGACCCGCGAGAGTCGCGGGTGGTCGCCGGCGCCTGCCTCTCCTCCGCAGCGGCAGAGGGCGCTGTGGCCGGACGCGGCCGCCCGAGTACGCGCGGCGCCGCTCTCTGGGCAGGGTGGAAAGAACAGAAGGAGCTGCGGCGGGTCCGCTTTGACGGCCTCTCGGGCCTGGTCTCCCTCGGCATCTGACTGCACGCCTCAGGTTCTCCGGCACCATGGGGAAGCGGGACAATCGAGTGGTGAGCACCTAGCAGGGAAACCAGTGGGATGACGTGGGGCCCAATGGATCGAGAACGGAACCCATCTTCCTTCACGGCCTGGGCTTAGTGCCAGCGGCCGCTCTTGGACCTCAGGCCCGGAGACCCAGAAGCCCCGCCGGCCCCAGACGCGCGTGCGCCGCTCACTCAGTTGGCGGTTTAGGGGCCCCGATTATTTTCTCCAACCTGTCTCGCCCTCTGGCGCCGCTGCCTGGCTCCTTTCCCATCCTCAGCCAGGCCAGCAGTGCCCAGTTTTTAGAGCTGTAAAAGCTTGAAAGAGAACTGCCCTCTCCTGTATGTTCCTGCAAAATCTAAAGCCCACGGAGACTCCGGGACATGCCCGTGCCTCCGGATCGCTCACCCCTGCTCTGTGCCCCTCTTCTTGAACACCCAAGTGGGGTGGAGGCGCTTTGCGCAGCGCGTCGCGGGACGCGTAGTCTTCGGACGCAGCTCCTGTTCTTGGGGGCCCACAGCGCGCATATTTCTAGCAGCAGGTGGGCTCCAGTTTGAGAATCGTGATCGCAGCAGTTGACTTTGTGTCTAGCGACCAACATTACCCCTCACTTCATAAGCTTTGTGAAGGAATGAATGGTGTGAAAATAGTTGGCTTTGGAATCAAGCACAGGCTGGAATCTCTCAGTTCTAGACCCTCGGGAGTTCGGTAGCCTGGGATAAGTTGCTTTTCTTTTTCGAGCCTCAGTTTCTTCATTTCTTCATCTGTGAGAGGGGATCATTGTGACACCCACCCCTTGCAGAGTAGTTGAAACTGCGTAAGATGCCCAGGCAAGTGCTTGGCATAAAAGTTATTTGGTAATGAGCTAAAGGAGATATGTAAACAACTAATAGCAGGAAGATTAAGAAATGGTACCTGGTACAGATTTGAGGTTCTGAGAGGATTCAAAAAAGAAGGTACTTTTGAGAGATGGAGATGGAACGAAGGCGTTTGAGAAGTAGAGATCTCTGGGGAAAGGCGGGTGCTTGCTTTGTGAAGCCAGATTGAATGCGCCGTAAACCTAAGGGAGTAGCAAATAAGATTAGATTCCAGCTTTGTAGTTTCCGGGCTTATTTATGACAGTTTTTAACAACTGAGCAGCAAAATGAGAAAAAGTGCACTTAAAGCTAATGTACTAAATTTAATGAGCTAGCTTTTTAATCGATTATTTCTTTTGCACTGTGTTTGCACGTGTTTATGCTTGTTAAAAGAGCTTTTTATAAATGACGTTTTGCTTTTAAAAAACATTTGTTTTTATTGGATGTTTTCCTGATGGAAAATGGCCCCAAACCATTGTGGTAGTTAACCTTGATTACAAGTTTAAAAATGTTCTTTCCTCCTGCTTTCTTGGTTGTGGATCACACCGCATAGTAACATCTTGACTCTCATAGAGTTGACAGTGTTAAGCTATTTTAGTGTTGAAAGCTATTAGGCTTGAGGTGTTAGAACGTTTAAACTGTTTAATGCCTTTGCACCTTGAATGTATAGAAATTACCTGTCCTTGGGTGCAGTTTCACACAGAGCCTTTGTTTTACTGGAAAAAAGTATTGGCTTACACATCCTGTTAAAGCATCTGAAAATTTTGTCAAATTGTTTTCCAGAGCATTTTGGTAACAACTCTGGGCTAAATTTATTATTATAATTTGATATGCTACCATAGCACAGTGTTCTGGTAACGTTTTGTTTATACTTTACAGGTTATAAGAATGAAAAACATGACATTAAGAGATGGGAGGGAATTATAGATTGTCTAATTCAGTCTTATTGCATGGAGTTAGGGAAAGGAAGCCTGACAGAACTGTTTAAACTGGGAACAAAAACTTAGGTCATCTGACACTCGGTTCAGTACATCCTACCACCTATTGATTCTGAGTAATAAAAATGGACGTTTGTTTGCCTCTGAAAATATTGACAGTTTTAAAGGTTGTCTTCAAAACATTTCTAGTTCTTACATTCATGGTACAATTACAGTTTTAATGATGAGGGGTTTGCTTTCCATAAAAATCATTAAGTTTCAGGTTGAATAGTCTTTTTAACTGAACATCTTAATTCTCAGCATTTGTACAAGCCTTTTGATGATGGCCACCCTTTGTGCCCATTGTTTTCTTGAAGTTTCCTTCATGTTCTTTTCTGTTGTTACATGGTGCCCTGTACAGCAGCTATATCCTCAAGATAAAAATAGGTAATCAAAGTCGCCTATGACATTCTGCACACTGTGTCCTTACCAGTGTTACTGCATTGCTCGGTTGATACCTGCCCACATTTATATTCCCTCGAGCCCAGTTTGCCATCCTGAGTTTGAAAAGCAGTCCATTTTCTGTTACCAAAACTCATGTAGCAGTTTGGAGTTACAGTTGCTTAGGTACGTGGATGATTTGATTTAGAAGTTCATGATAGAGTGATAAGTCATAAGGTGATAGTCATAAGGTGCTTTGAGAAATTGCACAATTTCTGTATTTTAACTTATGTGTAATCACTCACCCTCTTAATATGAGAAGCATTATTTTTCAGACTGATGCATACATGAAAAAGTCTGTTCTTGTTAGTTGCCATCAAGTCAATTCCAACTCCTGGCGACACCACATGTGCAGAGAACTACTCCAAAGGGTTTTGAAGGCTGTGACTTTTTGGGAAGCAGATTGCCAAACCTAATCTGAGTGGGTTTAGAACAACGGACCTTTCGGTTAGTAGCCCAGCATTTAACCACTTGTGCCACCCAGGGACTCCTGAAAACGTCATACTTTTGTAAAATAAAATAGTTCCTCTTTTTCTTTTCAAAAATTTTCTGTTCCTAAAGAAGCATTGTTGCTTAATAGGTAAGAGCATAAATTACCAAGTATTTTTGCATGGAATCGTGTACATAAAATGTTTGTATTAATAATACTGTTAAAGTTAAATGGAGTCATTTGGATTGTACTTAATTAAGCAAGCTGAGGGTAGTGTTTATTTTCAGAAACTTGAAAGTAAGCCTTATTACTACAACAGTAATCTGTAATATCAAAGAGCAAATTAGAACTTCTTTTAAAATTAAAGCAGAGTTTATAAGGAACAAAGAGACCCAGATTGGGCAGCACCCTCAGGATTTGCAAACACACTCCTGGGAAAGGAATTTTTCACAGTTTAAGCACAGAAAATCCAGGAATTTATAAGAAAAAAAATTCTGATTAATGGAAATTTACAAAACCATGCTTTAACAGACACCAGACAATTCCAAGATCCCACAAGCATTGTTGTGTTAATCATAAAGTTTGAGTCCCTTAAAATCTTGTTTATCTATGGATATTTTATGGGGCAAGCGTGAGTTCTTGTCCTTCCTGGGAGCCTGCTAGGGGAGGAAGGGGGAGGAGGAGAGCCTAGAGGCTTGCTAAGATATGGTGGCCATCTGACTTGGGAAAGGCAGCTCAGAATAAACCGGAAACTGCTAATGGAGTCCAGCCGGCAGCTTTGGCAGAAGCCTGTCTTCATGGCAAGCACCTAGATTTTTAAAAGCGCCTTCATAGCCCCACTCCCACCCCCTTATCAAAAATTTCAATGGAAATTTGCTGATTACTATTATAAGAGAATATTCTTCTTAATAGACTTACTTTCCTTGTGTTTATTAGATGGCTGCCTACTTACTTAATGTAGCCTTTTAAGACCCCAGACATACACTTGGGCACCATCTGTTTATTGGTGACTGCTTACCTTGATAAACCCTTAAGAGCCCAGCCACTGTCCTGCACCATGCCATAGCTTGACCATGTCTTCTGTGATCTTTTAAGAAAAGATGTGTAAGAGCAGGGCTGGATTAATAGGAATACTTGGAAACAGGGGACATCAGCCAAGGTGAAGACCTGAACTATTCTCAGAGGAGTTGCTATTTCTTCAAAATACGTGATATTTTTGCATAGCAAGTAGTACTGTACTGTGAGTACAAATATTTGAAAAACATGTCAGAAAATATGATTAATTCTGTAATAATTACTATAACAATTAAGAGAATTAATACAGTTTGTAAAATTGAGTGTAGCCACGAACCAATTTCAATAGGTGGTGGTGGTGGTGTTATGTGCCGGCGAGTCGGACCTGAGTCATAGTGACCACTCCTTGGGTTTCCGAGGCAGTATCACTACGGAAGTTGATTGCCCAACCTTCTTCTGAGGAGTGGCTGGTGGGTTTGAACCGCCAGCCTCCTAGTTAGCAGTAAGTACCATAGGCAGTATGCTACCAAAGCTCCTATTTTAGTAGGTTGTTGTTGTTGTTGTTGTTTGCCGTCGAGTCGGCCCCGACTCATAGCGACCCCTCCTTGGGTTTCCGAGGCAGTATCACTACGGAAGTAGGATTGCCCAACCTTCCTTCCAAGGAGTGGCTGGTGGGTTTGAACCGCCAGCCTTCTGGTGAGCAGTCAAGTGCCTTAGGCACTATGCTACCAGAGCTCCTGAAAATACCAAAAAAGGGGGAATTGAACATGGGGGGTAGCTGAAGCCGTGCAGTTTTATGGTGTTCCTGTTTAAATTATTGTTCTACTTCTCCTGATGTATTTATCCAAGCACAACAAGTAGTAGTAACAATTGCACAAATTCCTCCTTATTGTGCTGGAAGAAAATCAAGGACAATTATACATCACAACCGGCAAAAGAGCTTAAAGATTTTTGCTGGACTTCTATGCTATTGGCTATTTTATTTGTTATTTGGAGCATAGTAACAGACAGATTACAAATACATTTTCCAAGTTCAGGGATACCCATAAATGGAAAAAGGCTCCAGAGGAATATCCATGTGTCCGTAGAGCTGTCCATTATAGGGTTTTCCTAATTTCTTTTGTCTTGGGGAAAAATGTTTCAGATCGTTGGTACTGTGTACACTTTGATTATAACAGTGGAGACTTGGGGGAACCCCTAAAAACCAACTGTACATTGACCTGTCATTTTTAAAACATCTAGGTCTGGTAGTGCCCAAGCATGCAGTTTGTTACTCGGATTTGGGCTTTTCTTAGTGTGGTGCTTTGATC